TCTGGTCCTCCTCACACCAAGCCCTCCCAACACCAGCAGGGCTGTTCTCACCTTTCTTTCAACTTCTCTGCTGGCTGCTGGTTCCTTTGGCGCAGCTTCTTCTGACTCTCTGCTACAGCCGCAGCATCGCCCTTCCTGGGAACCTCAGGTCCTTTGGCCTGACTTGCTGTCTTGGTTACTGCATGCGTTTTCTCACTTGTGGCCTTTTTCTCCTTTGCATCTTCATTCTGCGCCAGGAAGACAAAGAGCACACGTTGAAAAAAGGAAACCTTGCCCAGCTCAAGCAAACACTGCCCAGAGCACTCACTCACACCCTTACCCTGGGGGCAGGAGGGCCCGCTTTCTGCCTGCTCTCTGCTTTATCCTTCCCAGCCTGCGAGCTGCGAGGTGGAGTCTTTGGGTCTTGACTCTGATGTCCAGCCCAAGCAGTTGCAGACTTGCTTTTAGGAGCTCCGGTTCCAGGAGATGGCCCAGAGGAAGCGCTCGCTCTCAGCCCTGCTGAGGTCAGGCTCTTGCTGCTATCTGAGGGCTGGGAATCCGGTCTCGTGGCTGGAAGCCGACCAGCAGCAGGGGCACGACTGCGCCCTCCCGCATCACCCCTGACTACTTCTCCACGCCCTGCGGTGCTTCCACCCTCCACCTTCTCCTCGGGGGTCGCAGGGCTTGGAGATGGGGCAGCCGCATTGTCTGTGCTGCTCTGCTTCCCTGGGGTCATCACATCCACGCTCCGGGGACCGTCTTCTGCAACTGCTTCCACGCTTCCAGCTTCCCTTCCCAAGTGACACGAGGCCCCCTCGCTTCCACGTGGGTCTCCACTGTCCCCAGCACGAACAGCACCACCCTCTTTGGCTACTTCACTGCCTGTGCTTTGGATTTCTTGGGGAATCACACAGGTATCGGGCAGTTCCGGGCTTGCAGCTGGTGCCGGGCTTAGAGAAGGCAGAGAGTCCTGCTTCTCAGAGCTCGACGGGCCCTTCTTGGATTTACTCCTCTCCTTTTTCTATAGCAAACAGAAAAGAAGGAACACCACAGTGTCTGTTTATTCATGGCCAAAGAGAAACTCTTCGGTGGAGCTGGCTGGAGAGGAGGAAGTGACACCTTCCTGCTACACTGGGATAATGAAGAACAACCAGGAAGAGAACAGACAAGACCAGCCTCTGCCTTCTATAGCAGTTGGAAATGCAAGTAACTCTTGAGCATTCTCTACTTCTACTACTAAGACCTCCTCAGCAGCAACACAAAGCAGCACCAAGCAGGACGCTCACTAACCAGGCCAGTTACCAAACCCACTGTGTCCTGCTTCCCCCAGCACAGCACAGGGGCCTGTGCTGCTCAGGGCAGCTGCCCCGCTCTGCACTTCGGCTGCCTGCATCCTCCACACTGAACCAAGCACAGACATCTCCAGCTTGCCTGGGAACACGGGCAGCAGCAGCAGCCAGTGCAGGCCAGCGGGGTTCAGGTGATGCAGCCCAGCCTCACTGCTTGACCAAAGAGAGCAACAAGTGGCCAGCAGCCCCTGCTCCTCAGTACCACAGAGCCTCACCTTCTGTGACTTCTCCAAAGTATCCCCAGCCACGGCCTCAGGTGCAGTCTTTGAGGTATCACTCGGAGCTGTTGCACCCTCCAGCAGCGATGCTCCTTCCTCTTCCTCCTCCTGCTCCTGCTCCTCCTGTGTTTCAGCAGAGGAAGGAGGCCCAAGCACGGCACATTCAGGTGCGGTCACTGAGGTATTGATGAGAGCTCTTGCGTTCTCCACCAGCAACCCTCCCTCAGCATCACTTGGCTCCATAGCAGAAGGCCCAGCAGCACCTTTTCCTTTCACCGCCACTCCTGTACCAGGGACTTGAGCGAGCTTCACCACTCTTCTTTCTGCAGTGGAGGCAAGGTGTATTGTTAAAGCTCTGGTGGTGAGCAAGCAGGGTCTGCTGCTGACCCGTGTACCAAACTGCTGTGGATTACTCAGGCAGGCAGCTAAACACCACACAGCCCACCCCACAGCAGGACCGTGTGTTATCAGTGCTGCTCTCATCCTGAATCCAAAACAGCCCTGGGAAGGAAATTAACTCCATCCCAGATAAAAACAGGACATGGATTAGCAGGAGTCACTTTGCTGTTCAGCAGCTACTGCTAGGAATGACAGCATCCTCCCTAGCACAGCCTTTCCCTCCCCAAGGCCCCTGCAGTCAGCAGCAGAGTAATTACAGTAAGAAACCACCGTGCTGAGGTGCTGATCCATCCTCACGCTACCTCCAGCTGATGGGCTGCCTGCCAGCAGAGGTTCTGGATGCTTTCCCTATAGCATTTAAGAGCTGGAGGCCCTGGGTTTGTTACCTTGCCATTCCGCATTTGCAGAGGGATTTGCTCGGAACTGATCCTGCCAGGAGGCTGACTCTGGGTTAGGGCATTCTTTTAGGACCCTAACTCTCCCTATCAACAACCCAAACGCAGCTCTGGTGGCCCAGGTCATTCTTTTAGCAAGTCAAAGGATTAGGAAGCATTTCTTGCAGTGTAACCATGTTAAATGTGTACTTGATTCTGTTACTGCCCGTAGAGAGAATTCTGTGTCGTCAAACAGGAACGCGGTGAATTCTAACCCCAAGCTGAAGATGGGAAATTTGGGTTCAAGAGAGACCAAAACGGACTTTTTAATGCAGCACCCCACAGAAATGGGCCCTGTTGTGGCAGGGCAGGAACCAGCTCAACACCGGCCACCGAGCGTGCCGCAGGGCTGGAGCTCCCCCCATAGCGCCTCCTCCTACCTGCATCCTCCTGCTCGCCGGTGCCGGGCGCCAGCCGGGCCCCGCACTGACCGCAAGAACCAGCAGATCCGTGCCCAGACACAAAGCGGCACCGGCGGCACTTCACGTTCCCCAGGCACCGACCGCAGGGAGCCCCCGGGGGGAGCGAGGAGGACGGGGCACAGAGAGAAACGGAGCCATCAGCGGGAGGTGAAGAACGCTCCGGGGAGCCTCAGGGCGCTGCCTCCCGACCGGAGCCCCCTTCCCCGGGACCGGGACCGGGACCGGGACCGGAGCCGCTTCAGAGCCAGCCGCGCCCTTCACCTGACCCGCCCGGGGCGGAGGCGGGGCTGACCCCTAGGCGGAGCCTATATGCAAATGAGGCCCCGCTCGCTCCTGCCGATAGGCAGTAGCTCCCGCCACTTCCGTGCCCGTATGCAAATGAGATAGGCAGACGGACCAATGGCGTGGCGAATGAGGCCCGTTAGTGAGGGCAGGAGGCGGAGCTCCGGCTCCAGCCTGGGGGGGGTGCATCGGGGTCCCGGGGCACCGGCGGAAGGGGGGGACGGAACCGGAGCGTGGGGGCTCACCGGGAGGCTGCAGCGGGGCCCGGTAGAGGAGCCCCTTCCCCTTGCCCCGCGCCCCCCGCAGAGGCGCCTCCCGCAAGCCCGGTGCCGGCGCTCCGGCCCTCCCGCAGCCCCGCTCCGCCGCTGCTGACCGGTCAAGTTTCGTTTCCTCTCAGAACCCCAAGTTTCGGTCTCGGGACGTCACCGCCCGCCGGGGTTCCTCCCCACCGCGGCTGCCGGGGCCGGGAGGGGTTCCCCGTGCCCCCCCGCCATGCTCCGAGGGGCCGGTGGAGCCCGTTCTCCCCCCGCCGAGCCCGAGGTCAGCAGCTCCCGGCCCTGCTGCGGGCCGGTGGAGCCGGGACGCGCCCCCCCCCCCGTCCGCCGTCGGTCGGTTCTCGTTGCCGTCTGGAACAGCGGCAGCAACCGGCCCCGAGCAGGCTCCCCGGGCCGCAGGGTGCTCCACACCAGTGCGAGGGCAAGAGCATGGAGGGAAATTCATCCCACTGGAGCCACCAGCCCGAAGTGGGGACGCGGCTGTCACCCCATCCCCGGCTCCAGCCGGGATTGAGCTGCTGACGGGTCCCAGCAGCCCTCACACGCTCACTTGCACACACGGTTTGAGCACACACGAAGCCAAACCCTCTTCTACCCCAGGCTCCATTTTGAGGTTACCTGAGCCCCCTCTGGGCACGCAGAGCAGCTTTCGCCCTACAACCACAGGCGGCGGCACACGACGTGAAGAGAAACCTGCTCCGTCTGCACTGGTCACTCCCGGTGCCGGGAGGCGGACGGACGGAGGGAGGGATGGGAACAGAGGGCACAGATGCCCTTCCAGCTCTGCAGGTGCTGCCGCGGGTGCAGCGAGGAACAACCCGCTCCAGGCTCCCGCGGCAGGCTCCGGCGGCCCCGCAGCTCCGTGTCGCCCGGGCACCTCGGCTGCTGTGGAGCCTTTGAGAGGAGGGGCTCTGCCTTAAGGCGCGGAGCACGCCCGCACCCGGAGCCTGCTTTCAGTTTCATTTCCTTGGTGAGCTCAGCAGTGCCCGGTTTAGTTTTTCTGGCCCACACAAAAGCGAAAAGCTTTCCTCAAAGGAGCGCAGAGCTCACACTGACTCATGTGCAATCAATCACCGCTTTATTGCACCGTCCCCTTCAGGGCTGCCGGCCAAGGGCAGTCGGGAAAACTGCCCTCCCTGCACCCTGCCCCAGCCCTGCTGCCTGTGCTTTTTACATCCATTTTATAGCAAGGCAAGCACAAGCTGGGGTCAGGCTGCACCCAGAGGGGCAGCAGAGCCCTGCCCCGTGGCAGCATTTGGCAGAATGGCTCACGAAACCAGAGGGATCAGTAAGGAGCAAAATCAGTGCTGGTTTTCATCTCCCAGCAGCGTGAGGGTGAGAGCCGCAGCACGGCCGTGGGCTCGGAGGGCAGCACCAGCACCCTTGGAGCTCGCGTTGCCACGAGCACGCTGTGCATCACAGTTCAGTGTTTGAATCATTGAGCCATAGAATATCCCAGAATAAGAAAAGGCTCAGAATTAAAACAGCTGATTTAAAAGATGGCAGCTTTGAGGATGCGGAAAGGCCTGGAGGAGGGGTGGCTTTTCCCAATGACTGGATAGGGAATGTATTTCCCTCGCTGATCCCTTCCATGGACTGTCTGTCCTAGAGGTGCCCGAGCCCCGGCAGCTGGCATGGGAGCTCTGGGACAGTGCAGGATGGTGGTTGGATGTCACCAGAGTGTCGGTGTCACCACTCACTGGATGAGCCCCGCGGCAGCAGTGAGCTCTGGCTGGTGCTGGTGCTGGTGCTGGCGCTGGGGGCTGCCCCGCTGCCCCCTGGCTCTGCTCCTCTGCACCGCTCTGAGCCAGGGAGATGGGGAGAAACAAGGCAGTTTCAGCTGGGATAGAGTTAATTTCCTTCCCAGTGCCGTGTTTTGGATTCAGGATGAGAGCAATGCTGATAACACACGGATGTTCTGAGCAGAGTTTACCGTAAGTCAAGGACTTTCTTCTGCCCTGCAGCAAGGGGGAGGGGGCTGCTGTGGGGCACAGGGAGCCAGGAGGGACATGGCCAGGACAGCCGACCCCAGAGGGATGTTCCAGCCTGTCTGGCCTCATACTGACCAGTAAAACTGGGGCCTGGGGTGGGTGACAGCAGGGGCTGTGCACGGCAGCTCTGGGGCTTGACAAAGGTCACATTCCCCTGTTCATGTTCCAGACCCCCTGCTCAGCAGCAGCCTGGGGTCCCAGCCCCAGGAGAGCACCAGGGGCAGCCAGAGCCTCACCTGCCTCCTCCCGGCTGGGGAAGTGTTGGAATCCCTCTAAGTCTGCAGACAGCAGGACTTGGAGAACAGGGTCCTGAAGGCAGAGGAACCAGGGCTGGGGCAGCCTGCTGCTGGCCACTTCCCTTATAGCGGGGCTCCGAGCCCCCCGGTCAGCCCAGGACACAGGATGCAGCCCTTCCCCACCGCTCCTCCTCCCACAGCTGGGCTCAGGACCCAAAGCCTCCAGCTCTTTGGGATGAAGGCTCCGCCAGAGGAGAGGCAGTAGCGTCCTCAGGGTAGGTGCCGGGGGCCAGCACAGACCCTGCCCCGAGGAGCAGAGCTGATGCTTGGTGTAGGGAGAGGCAGAAGGACCCAGCGCTGGGCCGGCTGAGGCTGCATCCCACGTACCTGCAGGCTGCAGAAGGCCAGCGAGAGGCCGTGCTTGCGCAGCTCCTGCAGCAGCTCTGCCAGCCCCGCCACCGCCGTGTAATCAATGCTGCTGATGTGACAACAGTCCAGGATGACGGAGCACGGTGGAGATGCTGCTGAACAAAGGGCACATGGTCACGTTCCTGGCGAACAAAGCCCAGAGCTGTGCCTGGAAAGGCTGAGACAGCAGCGGGCAGAAATGATCCAGGCAGGTACCAGGTTACAACCAGGTTCCTGGGAGACGACCAGGGGGCCCGGGAGCACTGTACCTGTGAGAGCATGGCTGCACACAACATCCCGGAGGCACTCAACAGCAGGGAAGTGCAGGCTGCTCCACGGCTGCACAAGGAGCACGTCCCCATCTGACACCTCTGACACCTGAGCAAGACCCCAGTGCAGGGCGATGAGTCACAGGGAGCTCAGGGCTGTGCCCCTGCAACAAAGCAAAGCACCGTCCTCCCTGCAGCCAAGGGGAGGTTTGAATCCCACCTTTATTGGCGGCCTGGCAACGGAGTAGAGCAGGAGAACCCCTGAGACCAGCATCCCTGCCATGATGCCGTACTGGATCTCCCAGAAGCAGAGCAGGAACGTCACGCAGAGGGGCACAAGGTCCAGCCCTGCAAGGGAGACAACCTGCACCTTGTCCTCGTGCCACAGGGCACAGGCAGAGCCGGGCTGCACCGGGGGATCAACCCTCCCCGACTCGTGCCCTCACTCTTAACCCGCCAGAGCGTCCTGAAGATCCCAGCATCGAACATGGGCACCACAGCCGAGATGATGACAGCGGCCAGCGCCGCTTTGGGGATGTAGTAGAAGAGCGAGGTGAGGTACGCCAGTGAGAGCAGCACCAGGGCGCCTGCGGGACACGGGGAGCCCCTGAGCCACGGGGCCCCGTGCCCAGGGCGCTGGGGTGCTGGGCACGGGGCCCTGCAGAGCAGCCCACGGCAGGGAGGAGGCTCTACCTGTGAGGAGCCCTCCCGCGGGGGTGCAGACACCCGACTGCGCGTTCACCGCTGTCCTGCAATGCAGAGCAGTTCGTTGGGCCCAGCACCGCTCATGGAGCAGCAGGAGAACCCCACTGGCAGAGACAGGAGCTCCCAGCCTGCGGCAGCACCGCAGAGCACGCAGGAGGGGAGGGAAGGTCCCTGCAGGACCCTGCACAGCCCAGCAGCCAAGGTGGGCAGCTGGGGACCAGCACATGAGCTCAGGGATGCATCGGGCACAACCTTCCCCCCAGGGTGTCACAGAACCCCAGCGAGGGGAGGGCTGGGGCTCCTGCTACCCACCGGCCAAAGCTGCCCGTGATGGGATACGATGAGACGAAGGAGCCCAGGATGTTGGCGAAGCCTGCAGAGGGGATGGAGAGGGGCTGGAGATGCAGGAGGTAGGGGAGGCACTGCACAGGGCCACGAGATGGGTCTGTGCTGCTGTCATCACCTCCTCCATCCCCAGCTGGTACCTGGGGCTGGATCAGAGCCCATCCAGGTACCTGGGGCCAGACCAGAGCCCATCCAAGTACCTGGGGCTGGATCAGAGCTCATCCAGGTACGCAGGGCCGGACCGGAGCCCATGCAGGTACCCAGGGCCGGACCAGAGCCCATGCAGGTACCCAGGGCCGGACCAGAGCCCATGCAGGTACCCAGGGCCGGACCAGAGCCCATGCAGGTACCCAGGGCCGGACCGGAGCCCATGCAGGTACCCAGGGCCGGACCAGAGCCCATGCAGGTACCCAGGGCCGGACCGGAGCCCATGCAGCTGTGTGAGCTCTGCTCAGGCTGCTCTGGAAATTGCTGAAGCGTGAGAAAGGCTTGGGGCGGGGGCAGCAGGCAGGGTAAGAAGGGCAAACCTTCAGACAGAGGTAGGGCTGCTGGGATGGGGATCTCTGACAAGCCAGGGGCTGTGGGACACACAGTGGTGCTCGGGCTGCATCCCCACCCCTGCCCTCCTGCTCCGAGCAGTCTCTTACCCATAGCCAGCAGCTCCTGGTTGGGGTCAATCCTGTAATCATTCTGCGAGGCTGAAAGGACAGGAGCGGCATTGCCCAAGCTTCCCGTGGGCACGTGTCATGGAGACAGCCACGGGTCCATTCCCAGCATCCCCGGGCACAGGAGCACCCAGCACTCAGATCCCACACACAACACAGGGACCCCCCGGCCCCCTCCCAAGCCAGGGATGGGGGAGCTGCCTGGCCAAGGGGAGGGGATCAGCAGCCCCACACGGACCCCTCCCGCCACCCCACACTAGGGACCGGGCTCAGCACAGGCAGCCAGTCCCTCCCAGTGCCCCCATGGGAGCAGCACCCTCCCGGCTCCCCAGGCCCCTGCAGACACCCCTTGTGCCGGCGCAGGCGCGGGAGCCTGCTGCAGCCATACCAAAAGCCTTGGCAATCGCAATGGTCTCCAGCAGGCCCATGAGCGGCACCACGGCCAGCCCGACCCCCATGTCCTGGGGGAGAGGACATGGTCAGCGTAGCCACAGAGGGATGAGGGTCACCCCACAGCAGAGCCTCCTCCCGCTGCATGGGGAGCCAGTGACTGCAGGAGTCAGCCCAAGGGGAGCCCATCCTCTGCCAGCCAGCCTGGCACCCACCTCCACCATGCTCCGGAAGGGGATGGTGCCGTTGGGGGTAGCCATGGAGAAGCGTGGCAGCCGGAATGCCGGGAGGCCCCGGGGGATGCTGCCGGTGAGTGTGAACGGCTGGGAGCCCATCACCTGGAAGGAGTAAGCAACCAGGCCAGCAAACAGGACCACGAGGGCGTTGCGTGCTGCAGTGAGAGAGCAACCATGAAAACCTGCCCAGGGCAGCAGGAGGTGGGTACCAGGCTGCTGGGGTCTCTCAAGCCTCAGGAAGGGGCATGCACAGCAGCAGGGCCATCCCTGGGACTTCGCCCTCCCTCACCCACCTCCAGCTCTCAGCTCCTGCTCACCTGGGGCTTTACCACTTTGGGGCTGTGTCTCCCTTGCCCCAAAGAGACAAGACCCCAGGGGGGATGGCAGCAGGAGGAGAGAGGCAGGGGGTGGCCAACGCACCCGTGGTGGTGGTCCAGACGATGAGGTAGCTGACCCTGACGGGCAGCGGCTCCACACGGGCGGCTCGGGGCAGGCGGCTCTTCATGGCCCGGAGCCCCGCCAGCACGGCCAGGCAGGCCAGCCCCAGCACGGCGTCCCCAACCCTGCAAGAGGCACATCAGCGCTGCGGGGCACAGGCAGAGCTACCCCAGAGCCCCTGGAGGAAGAGCCTGTCCCCAGGGAGGTGCAGAGCTTGCAGGGATGCTGCCCGCACCTCTGCCCCACCAGCAAAACGTGGCACTTCTGGGGGGACAGAAGGGGAGGGAAGGGGGGCACCCCCAGATTGCAGGACAGAGCGGGGACTGAGCAGGGATAGAGCAGGGACGGAAGAGGGACGGAGCAGGGATGGAGCAGGGATAGAGCAGGGACAGAGCAGGGATAGAGCAGGGATGGAGCAGCGATGGAGCAGGGACGGAGCACGGATGGAGCACGGATGGTGCAGGGACGGAGCAGGGAAGGAGCAGGGATGGAGCAGGGATGGAGCATGGATGGAGCAGGGACGGAGCAGGGACGGAGCACGGATGGAGCAGGGATAGAGCAGGGACGGTGCAGGGACGGAGCAGGGACGGAGCAGGGATGGAGCAGGGACGGAGCAGGGATGGAGCAGGGATGGAGCAGGGACGGAGCAGGGATGGAGGAGGGACGGAGCAGGGACAGAGCAGGGATGGAGCAGGGACGGAGCAGGGATGGAGGAGGGACGGAGCAGGGACAGAGCAGGGATGGAGCAGGGACGGAGCAGGGACGGAGCAGGGATGGAGCAGCGATGGAGCACGGATGGAGCAGGGACGGAGCAGGGACGGAGCAGAGATGGAGCAGAGATGGAGCAGGGATTGAGCAGGGATGGAGCAGGGATTGAGCAGGGATGGAGCAGGGATGGAGTAGCGATGGAGCAGGGATGGAGCAGGGATGGAGCAGCGATGGAGCAGCGATGGAGCAGGGATGGAGCAGGGATGGAGCAGCGATGGAGCAGCGATGGAGCAGCGATGGAGCAGCGATGGAGCAGGGATGGAGCACGGATGGTGCTGACCTGGTCTCCCCGATCCTCCGCAGCGTCTCAAACACCTGCAGGAAAAACTGCCGAGGGATCCCCCGCAGCCCCAGGATGTTCTATGGGAAGGCAAAGCCTGGTGAAAGCCTGGCACCTCTCAAGGTGCCAGGTGCCATGGAGGGACTGCCAGGAGCACCGGGGCTCAGGCCTGGCAGGGCCGTGGCACACACACAGCGCTGGCGCTGCTGGCAGGAATGCTCCTCAGTGACCACCCCATGCTCCTGCGCGCCCTCCACAACAGCCCGTTACCTGCAGGGTCTCTGCAGACAGGGCCTCAGGATGCTCTGATTTTTAACCCACTCCCAGGCCCTGAGATGCCCCCACCCCGCCCCGCACCCTCCTGTGCAGCCCCCAGGAGGGGTTCACGCTGGAGCCCTCACCCCAGCCCTTGCAGCCCAGCCATCCCCCTGCTCCGCGCTGGAGCAGCAGCCCGGGCCCAGCTCTTCCACAGCAGCCCCGCTGCAACCACAGCCATTGACCAACACCGGCTGCTGGCTCCTGGCAGAGCCTGAGCCCGCCTCCCGGAGGCTCTGATTTTGGTTAACCACAGAGGAAGCGTTGCAGCCCCAGAGAGCCTCAGGGCCCTGAGAGGCCGGGGAGGGACCAGTGGAGCTGCAAACCCACCCTGATGAGAGAATCACCAGCACCCCCTGCAAGGGACCAGATCAAGCGTCCTGGCTTTCCTGGTGTCCTGGATGCCGCCAGCTGGCCACAGGCAGAGGGTGCGTTGGGCTTGGTCTGCTCAGAGCACAGCACTCATGGAGCCAGCAGAACTGCTGTCGGGGGGAAACCAGAGCCCCTCTGGGGCTCCTTGCTCTTGCACCGAGCACATCACCCATGGAGCCAGCAGAACTGCTGTCGGGGGAAAACCAGAGCCCCTCTGGGGCTCCTTGCTCTTGCACCGAGCACATCACCCAGCCTGATGCCAAACACGACAGCCCTAGGAGACGGCAGGTGACGTGGCCCGGGCGGAGCAGCAGATCCTACCTTGATCTGGTTGAAGCTAATGGTGATGGAAGCAGCTGATGTAAACCCTTTAATGACGGGGCAGGAAATGAAGTCCAGAAGGAAACCTACGCAGGATGGGCAGCAGTAAGCACGCTGCTGGCCCGACAGCGAGCACAGGGTGTTTGCACACACTCAGAGCTGTCACAAGTGGTAGCAGGACAACCCCAGTGTCTCAGAGAGCACAGGGGATGGGGACACTGCTACAGGCTGCACAGTGATACCCTTGCACGGCAAGAGCATCTCACCGAGGTGCAGGAGCCCCATGGCCAGCTGGATGCAGCCAGAGAGGAAGGCGAGCAGGATGGCATAGACAGGCTCATGGAACGCGTAAGAGGAGACAAGCAGCGACATGATGGCCGTGGGACCCAGCGTCACGTCCTTGGCGGTGCCCAGGAAGCAGTAGACAAAGCAGCCCATGAAGGAAGAGTAGAGGCCGTACTGCACAGGGACAAAGCGAGCGCTGGCACAACGCGCGGCACCGGGGGATGCCCGAGCCCTCCGGGACACGGGGTCCCGGGCTCCCTCCGTAGCCCAGCGCACCCGCGGCGCCGGCGGGCTCCTGCCCCGGGGCACGGGTGACGGCAGCGGAGAGCCCGGGTCCGCCCGGCCCTGCCCGCGCTCGGGAGCGCTGTTCCGGGCAGCGGCACCCACCTCGGGCGGCAGCCCCGCCACCTCGGCGTAGGCGAGCGCCTGCGGCACCACCGTGAGCCCCACGCTGAGCCCGGCCACCAGGTCGAGCCGCAGCCAGGCCGGGCTGTACCGGGGGAGCCAGCGCAGCACCGGGAGCCGCCGCCGCGCCGCCGACCACGGGCACGGGCAGCCCCCGCCGCGCTGCCGGGGCCCCGGGGCCGCCATGGCCCCGCCGCTGCCCCCTGCCCGGCCGCCGCCACCGCGCTCCGGACCCGTGCCTGGGAACGGGGCCCCGCCCGGGCCGGATCTGAGCCTCCGGGGCTGCCCCATGTGACCGGGGCAGAGGAGGAGCCGCCGAGCCCCGCCGCCGGTGCCGGAACCGCTGCCGCTGCCGGAGCCATGCGGCCCTGGGCGCTGGCGCTGCTGCTGGTCGCGTTCCGGAGCGGCGGGACCCGGCCCTCGGCCCCGGCCCGCAACGTCCTGCTCCTGCTGGGTGAGCGCGGCCGCCGGAGCCACGGAGCCGGTCCCGGGTCCGCGGAGGGGAGCCTCTGCTCCCGTGGGCAGCGCAGGGCCGGCCCCGGGGTCCCGCTGCAGCCCCTCCGTGCGGGGACGGTCACGGCAGCACCGGCCCCTGCAGGGATGCTCCCGGTGCCATCAGTCACCGGGCCCGGTGCCCAGGGCTCACCCCGCTCCCCTCCCGCTGCAGCAGATGACGGTGGCTTCGAGAGCGGCGCCTACAACAACTCTGCCATCCGGACACCCAACCTGGACGCGCTGGCCCGGCGCAGTGTGGTTTTCCAGAACGCCTTCACCTCGGTCAGCAGCTGCTCCCCGAGCCGGGCCAGCATCCTCACCGGCTTGCCCCAGGTAGGGCACCTGCACGCACTGGGCTCCAGGCACAGCGGGGGTCAGGGCTGACCAGAGCTGGCTTTGTGGCACAGTCAGGACCTGGCCATCCCCCCCCTGCCCGCTGACATCCCCTCTTCCCAGCCCCCTGGGACCTGCTCCCCACGCACGCAGATGCAGTGCACATCTGGGCTTGTGCTGGGGCCAGGCCCCGAGGCATCATCCAACTCTGTTGTCTCCCCTGCCTGCAGCACCAGAATGGGATGTACGGGCTGCACCAGGATGCGCACCACTTCAACTCCTTCGATAGCGTGCGCAGCCTGCCCCAGCTGCTCAGCCAAGCACGCATCCGGACAGGTAGGGACACGGCCAGTGACAGGCACCAAGGACGTGTGCCTATGCTCTGTGCTGATCCCTGGCTTTCGCTTCGCTTCCCCCCCCACCCACTGCTCTGTTGCCACCCTCATCACACCTCAGCTTTTCTTCCTTTCCTCATCCTTCTCCTTCCTGGTTCTCAAGGTTCACACAAGGCTCCTGCTTTACCCAAACTTCCACTTCCACTAAACCTGTGACCTGGGGCAGCGTGGGCCCGGTTGGGTCCCATTTTCCAGCCAGATGTGGAAGTGCAACTGGCAGAGATGACTGGGGAAACTGGTGGCAGCTTCCACTGTCCCCAGCGCTGGCTGAGCACAGCTGGTGCTGGAGCAGCCCCTGTCCTCCCCTGGCTTCTGGCACAGCACATGTTCTTGCAGGCATAATTGGGAAGAAGCACGTTGGGCCTGGGGCCATCTATCCCTTCGACTTCGCCTACACGGAGGAGAACAGCTCGGTCTTGCAGGTCGGGAGGAACATCACCCGAATCAAAGCGCTCGTCCGGAGGTTCCTGCAGAGCCAGGATGAGAGGTGATGGGCTCTGTGTCCGCGGGCCAGGCTGCTAGGGGGGTGCAGGAGAGGAGGGGGACACAAGAGGAAAACCGGCTTCGCTGAAGACGTGTCCATGTCCCATTGGGAGACCTTGTCTCTGGGTCACCCCACATCCAGAAGCCCACATTAGGGGGGAATCCTCCTGCTGACCCCAGCTCCCACCCGCACAGCCCAGGGCAGGGCTCGGGGGGGTGGGGGCCGCCCTTTGCCTCCACCTCCACCCTTTCACCTCTAGGCCTTTCTTCCTCTACGTCGCCTTCCACGACCCACACCGCTGCGGGCACTCCCAGCCCCAGTACGGGCCCTTCTGTGAGAAGTTCGGCAATGGAGAGAGCGGCATGGGCCGGATTCCCGACTGGAAGCCACAGCTCTACCACCCGGAGCAAGTGCAGGTGAGGGCCTGCATGGTGCTGTACGGGGCTATATGGGACTGCACAGGGGCTGCGTGCAACAGCAGCCTCTGCTGGAGCCAGCCACTGCCATCAGCGCCATGGGTGAGCCGGCGGGGGCCACTGTGCTGTACTCACCCCCGTCCCGGGGTGGCCACTTTCCCCGCCTCTGTTTAGGTCCCGCACTTCGTTCCGGACACGCCGGCTGCCCGGGCGGACCTGGCAGCCCAGTACACAACCATCGGGCGCATGGACCAAGGTGGGAGCCGCGGGGCCGGGCTGCTGCTGTGGGCGCTGCCGTCCCTCCTGCCCCTCCTCATCTCCGCCCCTCCATCCATCCGCAGGGATCGGGCTGGTCCTGGAGGAGCTGCGCCGAGCGGGCTTCCACAACAGCACGCTGGTGATCTACACCTCCGACAACGGCATCCCCTTCCCCGGCGGCAGGACCAACCTCTACCGGTCGGGCACAGCTGAGCCCCTCTTGCTCTCCTCCCCGGAGCACAGGGAGCGCTGGGGGCAGGTCAGCCAGGCCTTTGCCAGCCTCCTGGGTAAGGGAGCAGAGTCCTGCAGAGCTGGTCCCCATCCTCCCTGCGCCAAAACCCGGGGTCCTGTCCCATAGGGCAGGCTGCAGCCCCGGGCACTGGCACAGCCCTGGCAGGGGGAGGAAGGATGAAGAACGGCAGGGTCCCCTGCAAGGACGTTATCCCGGGGCTCAGCCCTGGGAGCACCCACAGCCCATGTGGCAGCAGACCCCAGGGACCTTTCTGCCTCTCTCCGGGGTTTTGTTTCCTCCTCTCACCCTTCTCTTCCCCTCCAGATCTGACGCCGACCATTCTGGACTGGTTCTCCATCCCCTACCCTTCTTACAGCATCTTTGGCACGAGGCGGGTACATCTCACTGGGAAGTCTCTCCTGCCAGCGCTGGAGTCGGAGCAGCCCTGGGACACCACCTTCAGCAGCCAGAGCCACCACGAGGTGACCATGTACTACCCCATGCGAGCCATCCAGCACCAACAGTTCCGCCTCGTTCACAACCTCAACTACAGGATGCCCTTTCCCATCGACCAGGACTTCTACGTCTCACCCACTTTCCAAGACCTGCTCAACCGCACCAGGGCCGGGCAGCAGACCCACTGGACCAAGACCCTGCACCAGTACTACTACAGAGACCGCTGGGAGCTCTTTGACTGCAGCATTGACCCCACAGAGAGCCAGAACCTGGCCCTGGACCCCCGCTATGCTCCCATCTTCCAGCTGCTCCGCGCGCAGCTCCTGAAGTGGCAGTGGGACACGGGGGACCCCTGGGTGTGTGCTCCTGATGCTGTCCTGGAGGAGAAGCTGAGTCCCCAGTGCCGGCCGCTGCACAACGAGCTGTGAGCATCCCCGCTGCCATGGGACAGCTGTGAGCAGGGTCCTGGCTGGGCCGGTCCCACATCCCTGGGGGACACCTCTGCTCTGTATCACAAACACTGCCTGGCCCTGGAGCATTCAGGGATCTTTGAATCTCACTCCTATGAAGCCATAGGGATGAGCTGCTCCTCAGTAAAGCCTCTGGGGGACAGGTCTCTGTTTTTACCCAGAGCTGAGCATGTCCCCATCAGCTCCCAGGCAGGGATGGGGGGTTCCTGGCCAGGGGGTGCTGAGCAAGGGCAGGCAGCAGCAGAGGGGCACGGGCACGGGCACAGACACAGCCTGGGCTGCTCCCAGCAAACAGCAGCTTTATTACAGCTCCCTCACCCCCTGGGCAGATCCCAGTACCCCAAAGCACAGGCAGAGCTCCCGGCCAGCTCACCAGCGCCGCACTGAACAGCGCTGCTGGCTCCCAAGGCACTTGGGTCTTTTCCCCTGTTCTGCGGAAGATGAGGGTTCTCCTGTTCCCAGGGAGTGTGCAAGGAACCCCGGTGCAGGTCCAGTCTATACCCTCATAACTCCTGTTAGCCAGGAGGGAAGCCAAAGCCCAAGAGCTGCATTGTATGGGATGGCTTTGGCCCCAGAGCAGGAGGGAGCAGCTTGGTGCATCCAGCAGCGGCTCAGGACCAATTGATCACAAACTGCTCCCACATGGGCAGCGACACAGGGACTCTCAGCACCTGGGGGAGAAGGAAGGGTCAGCACAGGGAGAAGCAGGGATGGAGCCCAGGGCCTCCGGCCGGCAGCACTCACCTGGGTGTCGCTGCGGTAGGAGAAGTCATCCACGAGGGCACCGTTGGCCAGGACTTGCCGGGGAGGGCTGGTGACACCCAGCACAGTCACAGCCTCCAGCAGGACCCCATCGAGGTGGGCACTTGCCTGCAGGAGCTGGCTGAGCACGGCGCCCTGGGGGGACAGCAGGGCCATCACCCACAGGCACCGAGGTCCCACAGGCACCCAGGGCTCTTCAACGGGTCCTACCCACTGCAGGGCACCCAGCTCGAGGTGACGGCTGCTCTGCCACCACAGAGTAGCAAAGCCATTTACCAGGCTGCACAGCACTACTGGTGCAGAAAGAGCCACGTCCCTGGCACAGCATCTTCCCTTCCCAGAGCTCCTACAGGGGCCTCCTGGCCCCCACCAGTGCTGTAGCCACAGCCTGGCACTTTTGGCACAACCAGGTCGGCTGCACCAGGGCACGGTGCTGCCCATGGCCACACATGAGCCACGGGCACCGGGACCCGCCTGTGGCAGTGAAGCCCCGTGCCCAGACACCCCCATCGCTCACGTGCGTGGCCAGGAAGAGGAGCTCGGTGTAGTCGCCCCTCTCAAAGCTCTGCCAGCTCTCCCCATCGTCCCAGAACAGGTCTCCCCTGGCGAAGCCGCCCGGTGTCAGCGCCACTACCAAGGCCATGCCCTTCTTGCGGGACTCAGCAGTGTTGAACGCAGGCTCCTGGGGCACAGGACCGGGCTCAGCTCCGGGTGCTGCCGCAGCAGCTCTGCCCAGGCCCAGCCGGACACCGCAGGCTCATTCGGCAGCACCGGCTCTGGGGTCGGCGTTGTGCCCCACGCCTGTCACCGCAGCGCGGAGGGGACTCACCTGCAGTGGCAGGATGTGCCCTGCGCGGATGTGGACATTGATGGTGTCCAGGGGAGCGGGCAGGAGGATCCACTGCCCTTTGCTGTGGATGGTGGAGTCCTAAATGACAACGGAAAGAGGAAGCAGCAGGTGCAGGGCGCTGGTGCTCCATGTTGTGGTCCTCGAACGGCCACAAGTGAAGGTGGGTGAGGTACAAGTCCTCAACACAGCGCTGGGGGGGGGCAGAACCCGCAGTGGGGTACAGGAATGCATATGGGGCCCCGCAGCAAAGCCCCGGTGCAGGCACTGGGGATGGCAGGGGAGCACCTACCCCTGCCAGGCTGTACCACGTCCCCGCCGGGAAGTAGCCGCTGACTTTGGTCTGCCCGGCCTCCAGCACGGGTGTGATGAGCAGCCCCGCGCCCCACATCAGCTGGCGGTCCACAGCCCACGTGTTGCGGTCCTGGGGGAACCTGGGCGAGGAGGGGAGGGCAGTGCAGCGCCGGGAGACCCTCACCCCCCCCCCCGAGCCAGGGGCCCCGCGCTCACTCGAGGAACAGCGGCCGCGCCACCGTCTCCCCCGCGGAGTGAGCGCGGTGGAAGAGGGTGTAGAGGAAGGGCAGGAGGGAGTAGCGGAGGTGGAGGGCGCTCCTCATGGCGGCCTGGGCAGCGGGGCTGAAGGCGTACGGCTCCTGTGGCTGCAGGGGAGAGGACAAAGGGCGATGCTCAGGCCGTGCACGGGTGCCTTCTGGGGACTCCGGACGGACTCCCCGCAGCGCGTGCTGCCCAACGGGACGAGGTGCTCCCGGTGCTCACCCGCGCACCGTGGTCATTGTGGTTCCTCATGAAAGGGTAGAAGGTGCCCAGCTGGGTCCAGCGCACGCACAGCTCCTCCGACGTGTCGCCCACGAAGCCGCAGATGTCAGCACCCACCAGCGGCACCCCAAAGAGGTTGAAGAGCAGCACCTCTGCAGGGCAGGCGCAGAGGACATCGGGGTGCTGGGGTACGGAGCCTGCCAAGGAGGTGCAGGGGGGATGGAGCCCCAGCACCCTGCAGCCTACCCGGTATGGAGTAGTAGAGCTGCTCCCAGTCGCTGCCGACATCCCCAGTCCAGTGCCCTGCGTAGCGCCCGTGCCCAGCGAACGTGGAGCGGGAGATGATGAAGGGGCGCGTGCCCCGGATCCTCAGCAGCGCGCTGCGGGCAGGATGGGCCCCACTCAGCACTGCCCAGGCAGGGAGCAGGCTCAGCAGCTCTCAGCAGCAGCACGAGGCTGGCGTGTGCCAGGGCAGACAGCCAGTGCCACCACGGCCATGGGGCAGGTGACATGGGCAGCGCACAGGACATGAGCCCCCAGCCCGTTACTGCATTACAGACCAAACCCTCACCCACCCATCAAATGCCTTCCCCGTATCCAAGCTGCCCACTAAGGAGGAGCCTCCCAGCTCTGGCATCCCCTGGGATGTGCATCGGCTCCTCCTGGACAGCAGGAGGTGCAGCAGGAGCCACAGGCTTACTCGTGGGAAGCGATGGCCTCGGTCAGCCCGTAGAGGCTGTGCAGGTTGTAGTGGGAGGACAGGTACTGCTGGCTGGAAGCGCAGATGGTCCCAGCTTGGAGGCGTCCTCCAAACACGCCTGCATGGGAGAGGTGCTGATGAGGGTGAGCTCAGAGCCTGCTCGGGGTCAGAGCATCCGCCGGGGTCCTCCCGGTGCTCCCACCCTGGGCAGGGGCCGGTGCCGCTCCCGTACCTGGCACGTAGGGGGGATGCTCCAGGTTATTGTTGGGGCAGCCGTCCTGGGAGCCCTCCACAAAGTTCGATGGCTCGTTCATGTCCTGGGGCGGGAGGGAAAGGACGGGATGTCCTCGCTGCAGCACCGGGACCCAGCAGAGATGCAGGGTGGGATGCGGAGAGCTGCAGGCGGGAGCTCTGCCAGGATCACTCACAATCCACAGCCCATCGAAGGGCACCTGGTCGTGGAAGTCCTTCACCATGTCGTGCCACCACTCCCGAGTCTCTGGGTTGGTGAAGTCTGGGAAGACCGTCGGGCCCGGCCAGACCTGCAGGAGGGAGGCAGCAACAGGCAAAACCCCACGGCCCCCATGTGCCGCTGACCATCCACTGGGGCCATCCCCTGCCCGGTGCCCTCCAGCTCCCGGTCCTGCTGCAGTCGTCCCACCCAAGCCCCCTCCCTGCACTCACCCTCCCAATGAGGGGCTGTCCCGTGGCATTCCAGATGAACACCCCCCGCTTCAGTCCCTCATCGTAGGGCTTGTAGGTGCCGGGAGGCCCCGAGCTGCTGATCCCAGGATCCTGGCAGGACACAGAGCCAGGCTTCAGCAGCGAGGGCAGGGAACAGCCTCCACTCTGCTGTGAGGGAGCTCCATCATCACCCCTGGGGGCAGCTGGAAGCCCCGGCACAACCGGGGGTCACTCACCACAATCATGATGTACCTCAGCCCGCGGCGGTGGAAGTCCCGCACCATCTCCGGGTAGTCCTTAAAGCTTCTCTTGTTGAAGGTGAAATCCCTCTTGGCATCCGCGTAATCCAGGTCGTTCCACTGCACATCCTGCGGGCGATGGAACCGGTGACCAGGGAGGAGCAGGGACCCCCACCCCATGGGGCTCCCTATCAGCCCCCCACGGCTGCTCTGGGGCAGAGGCTCCGGGGAGCAGCCCAGATGTACCTGGGGGAAGCGGGCTGCCGACATGTTGGCCACGACCTGCCGGGTGATGTCGGTGGAGGAGTAGCCCCAGCGGCAGAGGTGGAAGCCCAGGCCCCAGTATGGGGGCATGAAGGGGAACCCTGGAAGCCAGGAGGGCGGGTGATGGACAGATGGGATCAGGGATGGCTGGGCATCGTGATCCCTGCAGCCCCCTCCACCACACTGCTCCTGGCAGAGCCATCCCGGGAGCACCCGCGCCCCAAATCCCCAGCTCAGCCCTACCGACGACATCCAGGTACTGCCGCACCACGCTCTTGGGGTCGGGGCCCAGGAACACGTAGAAGTCCAGGATCCCGCCCGTCGTGCGCCAGGTCAGGGCCGGGCTGGGCTGCAGGAGCACGTCTGGGGAAGCACAAGCACCGGAGGAACCAGGTGGGGATGGGGACAGGACCGAGCCTGTGCCCAGTGCCTCCGCGGGACTCACCCATGGCGTTGCTGTTCAGCAGAAAGACACCGTGGGCAGAGCCATCGTCCTCCATTCCCAGGTAGAAAGGGTGGGAGCCGTAGAGGTTGACCTGGGGCTGGAGCAGAGCACGGTGCCAGTGAGGCTCCACCAAAGACCCCAACACAGCACCCACCTGCCCCTTGCCTCCAGCCAGGAAACCTTGGGGTACAAACCCCGGCTCTGCAGCCCCAAACACTGCTTGAGTTGGCCGAGCTCTGCCCTGAGCAAGAGCCCTGGACTGCAGCTTCAGAGCCTTGCTGAGCCCCAGCAGGACAAAGCCTGGCCCATGGGCTTTACCCAGGGCTCAGCTCAGCTGGACACCTTTCCCCAGACAAGGACAAGACATAAGAGGCCACCCCTGCACGTAGAGCTGAGCCGTCTCCCTGTCCCTCAGCTCTGCTCCATACCATGGGTGCCATGTCCCGATTCCAGAGGGTGACCCTGGTCCACGCTGTGTCAAGGACCAGTGGTGTCAGGTGCTCCCCCAGCCCAGAGATGAAATGGGAGGGCAGGGAGGTGGAGATCTGCAGGAACTGGTCTGCAAAGAAGAGCGGCGCGACCGTGGTGTTGAGCCTGCCAAGGGAGAGGGAAGCACGGAGCTGGAGGCAGCACCAGGCAGGGACACAGATGCTCGTCACCGTGTGAAACAAAACCAGGTTTTGGCTCAGATCTGGGATTCCTGCTTCCCTTCCCAGCCACTGAACCAAAGGGGAGGCAAAGCAAAGCCCCACTGGCTGCCAGCCTTCTGCCTGCACCAGTGTCCCATAACATCCCTTACCGGAGTCAGGTCCCACACCAGATCCCTTTGGGAAGCCCAGGGCAGGATGGGCACTTACAGGACCTGCCCACCGCGCTGCCGGTAAACGACGAGGCCGAAGGGCTCCTCGTTGATCTGCACCCCATAGAGCGTGGTGGCCGCTCGCCCGCTCACCCGCGGTGTGTCCAAGGGCACCTCATAGCGCTGCCGGGCCGGGTCCCGCAGCTGCGAGGCAGAGAGGGGGGGATCGGCCGGGGACCAGGACCAGGACACCGGGATTAGGAAGCGGGGCACGGGAGCGCACCGTGAAGCGCAGGCGGGCCGGGGTCTCCAGCAGCACGTCCAGCCGCAGGCAGCCCACGTCCCCCGGCAGGAAGCTGGCGGCGACGCGGCGGAGCCGGGCCGTGTACCCGCTGCCGGTGCCCGTCACGTTCTCCGCCCGGTAACTGCGGTAGCCGCGGGGGAAGAAGCACCAGGGCGGGCCGGGGCCGGGGCCGGGGGCGGCGGGCACGTAGCAGCAGCCCCGCGCCTCGCAGCCCTCCCGCGCCAGCAGCCGCTCGGGGCCGCAGTCGAAGCGGCTGCCCGGGGGCACATCGCAGACGGCGGCCCCGGCGCCGAGCCCCGCGGCGGGGACGAGCGGGACCAGCAGCGCCAGCAGCGCGGCGCCCACCCCCAGCCGCGGCATGGCCCCGGCTCCCAGCAGGCGCGGCGGGAGCGGAGCGCGTCACCGCTGCCCCCGCCTCCGGGGCGGGACCGGCACCGGCACCGGGCGGGCGCCTTCGCCCTCCTGTTCCCCGCCCCGGAGCCGCCGCACTTGGGCGGCCGCCGCCGGTGAGGGAGCGAGGCGGGGCCGCCGCTGGCCCGGGGAGAGGGGAAAGCGGTTACAAGTGAAAGGTGCAAGGCAGCAAACGGAGCGGTTCTTGAGGCAGGTTTTCTTTCTTTACAAACACCAGGAGCCGGTGCTGGGGCCCCTCAGGCTTCCTGCGGGGTCAGCCTGGATTGCACGCACCGGCCGAGCCACTGCAGAGTCCCCTGGTGCTCAGGATGCTCCTGCTGGACCCGACTGATGATGGCATGAACGGTGCGGAGCCGGGCCTGCAGCTTCCGCTGCTCGTTCCTCCAGGCTTGCTCAGAGCGGCAGAGGGGACTGTACTTCCCTTCCTTCAGTGCCTGCAGGTGCTTCTGGCGGGTCTGGTGGGCCACAAGCTCCAGAAGGTTCTGAGGAAAGCAGAAAGGAAATGGTTTTGACAGCAGGCTGCACATAGAACTAAGAGACTGCTGAAACCATTCCATTGTGAACTGGAAGGGCTGCTTAAGGCCAGTGCTGTGAAGTCCCCCTCATTAACAGCCAAACAGCAGCCTCATTCTGTGGCTTGCAGATGCAGCATCATGTCACAGAACTCTATAAATCAGAGGAACACCCGTGCATACAAGGCAATTTGCTAGGACAGGGTTTCACCAACTCAAAAACCCCACGGGAGCTCATTCAAGACCTGGAGCTGCCTCTCAGATGTGTCACATCCTTGGAGCCAGCAGCTGGTGCTCCTACAGGAAAGCTGGTACTAGATATTTTCAATATAGAAACAATGCCCTCCAGGTGAATGCTCCCTTGCCAAGAGTACAACTGCAGCATCCATTCAGGTGCACCATGAGCCCTCAAAATGTGCTCGGTTCACCAAGTGTTGCTAAAGCCCACGCCAGTGTGCCCAGTTCAGGGGGGTGATGAGACAGGGAGGTGGCCAGCAAAGAAAGCAGCAGGTTCTGTTTGGCTCACATGCTGCACCTAAGGGGATGTGCTCACCCATCGCTTCTCATTCCGAAGATGTTCTGAATCCGAATCAAGGACATCAGACTCTGCCTGCAGCCTGCACACCTCCTCCTGCTTCTGGGAGACAGCAGCACTGAGGGAGGCCTGGGTGCTCTCCAGCTCCAGGATGGTTTTGTCACAGTCCTGAGTACTCTGGTTAATGGAAGATAAGGAAATGGCAGGTTCTGGTTCCATAGTTCAGCTGCGCTCCCGGCCACGTTCCCAGAACTCCTGTGCTGGTGCTAATGACAAGGCACATATGGGCCATAGCCCACCAGCTCTCCCAGCCCTGCCCTTCTTGCTCACCTTCTGGGTCTCACTGATCTTCTTTCTCAGCTCCTCTTTCTTGCGGTGGAAGTCGCTCTTGGTGAAACGTTTCTTATCTGCAGTCTTCTGCCCCTCTCCACGAACTGTTACTGCCTCTCTGCGAGAAACACATGCCTCCATCTCACGAACCATCTTCTCCTGTTGCTTCATCAGCTGGCTGTAGCGGACCTGCCATTTGTCACGATACAAAACAGGCTGAAAACGACTGTGTACAAATGGCCCCTCACTGAAGTCTCCTGTGCGGCCCATCCCATCAGCATGAACCAGATACATGGGACATGTGAGTGTCGGCAAGCCAAATCTGTTCTATATCCAGACCTGATTTGCCCTGTGTGGATCTGGAAGGCAGAAGGCTGGATTATCAACTTGTATAAAGTAACCTTCAAATTGCTTCACTGGAACTCATTAGCAAGAGCAGCAGCAGAAGAGCAGAAGCATCCCAAGAATGAAAGGGAAGAGTTGCTTTGCCAGAAGAGAGACAACTTCCCTAACCCGTGATGAGGATGATGCAGTGTTTAGTAGTCAGCATTTCTTTGCTTATAAATTGGGGTCATGGAGGAAGGAGGCACATACAGCATTTTAAACGCACTCTGCTGCAGCCTGGTATGCAGCACACAGACACAGCCAGGGCACATGTGCTGGGTGCATTTAATTCAGGCTGGCTGCAGGGTGCTAAGATTTCCAATACTGCTGCAGCCTGGAAGATCCTACCTCTCCTGCCTGTTTCTCACCTCTTGTCTTGCATGTCAGCCCACCAAAGCTGAATATGCTGTGAGCAGCTTCCCCTCCTCAGCCCTCTTTCCTAGAGGCTTACTTGCATCCTGTGAATCTCTATTTTCATGGCTGGGATTTCACCCTCTCCTGTCGCAGAATCCACTGCCGCTCGCATCTCTCTTGTCAGCTGGATCTTCTTCTCCCATAGCATGATTTGATGCCTTCAAGGACAGAAAGGGAAAGCGGTGCCTTAGTAAACAACAGGGAGGGTGCTCTTTGTGTGCACACTCCTGAAAGCCACTCTGAACATAGCGGAATGGTTCAGCAGAAACTGAGGATTTGTGCATGGGACATAGAAAAGGGCAGGAGCGGAGCAGTGTGAGAGCACACAGGAAGCTCCACTACTCAGAAAATGGTATGAAGACTGTAAAAACAGGCATGCGCAGACTGCCAGAGGGCTGCTGGATCCCAGTTAACTGCCCAGAGCAGCACACTCACTCTGAGCGGTAGCATGGGGGACAGCATGCAGATTCCCACACAGATCCTGGCAACATCCAGCACAAGTAAGTGTGCTGGAATCGTTAAAGCCAACATCCTTCAGCTCTTGCTGGTTCCAGAATTAACTAAAGCATCCTTCAGTTTCTGTCTTTCAAAAATTAATTAAATCCCTTTCATCCTCCTCAAGAAGGACAGAAGCACATTTGCTGGTGCTGTAACATGGACATAGATACAAAAGTTCAAAGACTGTGGCACAAAGCAGGAACCTCTCTCTGGTACCTACTCTGCTTCCACCACGCTGTTCAGGAGTCTTTCCTTCTCCTCAGACAATTGGCTATGTCTCTCCTGCATCTCAACTGCTTCTTTTTCTGCTTCCTAGATTGGGGAAGCATAGAACAACAGGACACTGTCAGACTGAGGAAGTTTGACAGGATCACTATTTGCCTCCAATCTGCATGGGAGGTTGAGGCCTGGAAATGAGATGTCACCCTCTGTACCTTGAGAGCACGTATGAACTCGTTCTCTGTTATTATGTTGTTACACTGCAGCTCCTCATAGCTGCTGTTATTCTTGTTGATCAACACGTTCAACTTTATCAAGTCATTGTACATGTTCTTCATGTGATGTTCGATGTCTTTCTGTTCTTTTGTTTCCTGCTGAATTTCATCTACAGGTGAACAGAGAAATGTCTTTAACTTCTCTCAAGCACTGGGCTGACTACAGCCAAGGGGTGACAGGCTGCCATTAGACCACAGTTGCTCTTGGTCAAGGAAAGTGCTATCACTGCGAGAGATACCTACAACTACTTGCAGACTTGATTTTAAGAGGTGTAACTCATGACATGGTCACTAGGGTGTAACTGTCAGTTCAGACAGTAGGATCAATCGTTAGAGGAAATAACACACAAAGCAGCAGAAGGTGCCTGGCTCACAGCTCCAGGATATAGCACTGGAGACACTGGTGTTACTGCTCACACAATGTATAGGAGGACAGAGAGAATTCTTTGGTGAAGGCCTAGCATCACCCATCTGCAGGCCTTCATTCCCTTTTTCCTCCCTTCAAGGGTGAACATCTTAAGGAAGAGCTGGGGAATGACTTACTTTCCGTGCGCAGTTTCTTCTGCTGCATTATGGTCAACCGTTTCTTTAACATATCCAAGGAGGCAATTTGCTCCTCCTGTTCACGTGTTAGCTTGACCAGCTCTTTTTGCTGATTCAGCCAGTTCTTCTGCAGTGTCATCACCTCAGAATTACATTCTTCTATCTCCTTATTCAGCTTGTTAATCTCAATTTCCAGTGGGCCCAATTCTTGCCCCTGTACAAGAGCAAGGTTTGGGATAAATCAGGCAGAAGCTGCTGGAGCACTTGTTTATAGCACCCTTGCAGAAAGCCCATCCAGCTGCTGAGCTGCCAACTAAATACTTCAGCTGTACTGTTAATTTGCCAGTTAGTTACTTTCTGCCTCCATTTCCCACGAGTTGGATGGGACCAATCATTCCTGACCTTGCAGGAATAAATCCAACAGAAGCCCTAAAGGTTCTCAAACTCTGTGGCAAACTAAGCTCTCCCACCATGTAAATCTGGACACACACAAGTTTGCAGAGTATATGCCATAGCACCCATCTTCACACTTGTATCCGTAAAGGGCTCACAGTGCTATGGACAGAGTTGGGTATCACCTGAATGGGGCCACCATCAAGTGACTTAAATCACTCCACCTACTCCATTCCCCATTGCCAGCCTTTGCAGATTCCATAAGGAGATCCTATTTACTCCCAGAGTATGGATGCCACTCAGTATTTTCATCAGGCACACCCTCATTGCACAGTTCCCTAACGCCACCTCCTCTTCCCATGCCTTAAGAGCTATCTGACAAATGTAAACACTTACATTAAATACTGCAGCTGTTAACTCACAATGCGGATGCCTGGTGGGTGTGAGCCACCCACCAGTTACATTTAGCAAGGATCTGTGGTCACCACAAAGAAAAAATCAAATTTGGGACTGAAACACAGAAGTACATACTCCCAGCTCAGAAAGAATCTCCTCCAGCCTCTTGTTGTATTGGCTGATGGCCCGTTGCTTGCTCTCAGCCAGGAGGTTGCCCTTTGTGATTTCTCTTTGCCTGCAGCTGACCAGATTATGGATATTACTTATTTCCTTGTCCAGCTCACAAAGTGTTTTCTGGAGCACTGCCAGCCTGCAGGTGGTGTGAGTTGTGTTCAGAATAACCTGGGCCATATCATTCTCAACCCTGGAAAAATGCAGCTCCTGGGAATATCAACAGACAGAAAACAAATTACTGTCACCACCAGCAACTCAGTGATTTGTAATGCCCACTTATCAAACACAGGTTCTAGATTCTGCTCCCAGGTCTGTGCTACAAGCCGTAAGCAAGCTATTTACCTTCTCTGTACCTTTATTTCCTCATCTGTTGACAGAAGATAGCAATATTTACCTCTGCCATAAGGCTGTTGGAAAGCATTAAGGAGCCTAAACATCTCAACCCCCTTTAACAGACCACACTCTTCACTTCTGCAATTATCTTCCTTGCCCATCTCTGTCTGGCTAACAGTAGTAGGACATTGCTATATTGTACCTTCTCCACCATACCTGACACACACACACCCCCCACCTAACAATTTCTCACAATGGAAGCCAACCCTGGAAGTCTTCCAGTTACTTAAGGTATGCCCTCGATTTAAAAGAGCCAGGAGCAGGCTGAAGTAACACACGGAAATGTAGAAGTGTGAGCATGTTGCGTTAGTGCCAGCCTACACAGCTCAGTATGATAAATACCGCACTGAGGCTTCTAGCTTTTCCTATCTGTACCCATTGTACACACCCAAAGAGAGCAACTTGTCATGCCATAAAGAACTGTGGGTCTAGGTTTGACTGTTCCCTGGACTGTAATCCTCACCAGGGAACTGAAAGCATGCTCATATCGCATTCTGTGATTGAGCACAGAGATTTAAGTTAGTTTGATGTGGAGTACAGAAGTACTGGTAATACTTTATGGTAAATACTTCCAGAATTCATTATTCTGCCCCATTTTTTAAGTAAAGAAGGAATAGTAAGTTATGTGCCAGGCCCCTTTGGCCGAGCTCTTTCACATACACCAGAAACCTGCACTAAGACACTGGAAGAACCAAACTGGAGTCACAAACTCAGCAGACTCTCAATTGCAGACCTGAAAACCAGAATGAAGACACTGACAAAACATGCTTGAGAAACACTGCTCTGGGCAGTTTCCTTTCCCTGCCCTCCCAATACCATACCAGATCTGTTTTTCTCCTCTGAAGTTGTGCAATCAGCTGTGAGAAGTGCTTTGTGGCTTTGTTGGATATCAGCTGGTCCTGAAGCTTTGCCACAATTTCATTCTCCGTCTGCTCTTTGACCTTGGTTCCTTTCTCTATATCCTTAATGATCAACAGCAGCTCATTCAGATGAGCAGCTTGATCCTAAAAAGCAGGGAAGACAGAGACAGGATCATTACAACTGTTTGGGGAAGGGTATTAAATCCCTGCATCCAATTCTAAAAGATTCTTCTTTCATGGACCCTTCTCACCATCTTAGTCCTATTGATAGCCTGCTCTGTCTCACGCAGAACACGATCATAGGTGCTAAATTCAATCTTCAGGGCCTCCTGCGCTGAAAGGCACTGGGCAATCAGTTTCTTTGTTGTACTGGCATGGTTCTGTGACCGGCTCAGGGTGCTGACAAGAGTCTCATTCTTCTCCTCCTCTTTCCTGATCGATTTGCTACAGCCAAGGATGTCCGTTTCTAGGGACTTGAGGTCGCGACTGTATTTGCTGGAGGGGCAAAGAGAATGGAAAATCACCACAGGGGTTGATTTGTGTGCTGAACATACTATTGCAGCAACAACTCACCCAGAAGGGAGATCTTTATAAAGGCTAGTTTGCTGCGACAGTGCAGAATCATCAGAAGATGGATGGAGGCATTAAGATTTAAAAGGAAATGACAAAGATGGAATTAATTTTCCTACAGACATGTCCCACCTCCCATTCTTATCAGGATGCCACCATGTAAAAGCATATTGTTTGTTCACAGAGAACCAGTCAAGCTTTAAGACTCCAGACCAAATAAACACTTCCTTTGGCAACAATAGGAAGGTTTTCCTGAAGATTCCTAAAGCCATCACAAGCCCTAACTAAAAGTGGCAGATAAATCCTTCTTGATGTTGAGCTCTCTGGATTGAGAGATGTTGCAAAGGTGATGGAACTCTTTTAAAGGAATAAAATAGAATAGAAAAACTCTAAACAGCTTAAAATGCCCCACACATTTCAAGGGAGAGCTGTGTTTTGAATAAAGAAAATAATAACAAAGAAGTGTGCTTCTTATCCTTAACCTCATCATGTGCTTTAGAGCAGCAGACTTGTTCTGACTGACATATCCTGCACTTACATTAATGAACTTGACAAAGACACACTGTCCCTTTTTGAATCCCTCTTGTCCAGATTATTTGAGCCTTCTCCTGGGATTGTTTACAGACACCCTACCTCAGCAGCTCCTGTGTGGCAACATAGGCCTCATCTCTTTGCTTCATTCCAGCCAAGCTACTATTCCAGTAGTTCATCAGTCGCTTTTTCTCCATGTTAATAGCCTGTACCTCCATACAAGCCTAGGGAAGAGAGAGTTGGTAGATGGGATTAACCTATACTGTGTTGAAAAACCAAATTCTGTTCATAATATCCTGGGCAGGAACAGCTTCAGCTAACATGTGCCTGGGTTACTGTCACAGCAGACCACAGAGCATACGTCTGCAGGAAGAAAAATGCTGAGAAGTTGGAGGAGGAAGAGATTTACTGGCAATTCTCAGTGACAAAGGTGGGGGGAGAGGGAAAAACGAGAAGTTTTCATTCCTCCAAGCAGAAACAAACCATACAACTCTGGCCTACTTTGTACGTACCACGTGAGTGTGAACCAAAGGGGCCAGTCCTTCCAGAGGGAAATACTAACCAGAAGTGTATAAAGCACCCTCCTACCTCATTTACTGCTTGCCGAGTTACTTTTGTGTCCTCTGCCTGTGCCGCAAACTGAGCTTCAAGCAGACCAATCTGTTCTTGGAGTTCATATGCTTTTCTGGTTAAGCGGTCAAGGAGAAAGTCCTAAAGAGCCAAACAGCTCAGGATGAGTAACATAATCCCGTCCTAACCAGCTATATTCTGCAAGAATAACATAGGCTAGAAAAGGAATTATATTGGCAACTGGATTAGACTGTATTCCTGCTAAAACTTCCCATTCCTATGCAAACGGCTCATGGACGCAGCAGTGACAATTGTCAACAGATTAAGACCTTTTTTTTCCATTTTTATTATTGTATTTGCAGTAGTAATTGATACTTCAGGTCTGAAGCAACATCCATTCCTGTCAGCATGCATTATATTGTGCCACCTCCCCAGCAGCCGGGAACCTTAATGATTTCTGGTTTTAAATCCTTTGTTAAAGAAACATCTAAATCCACTGATTTCTACTGTTTGCATCCAATTCTCCGTTAGTAACCCTCAGCCTGCGTCGTGCTGCAGGCAGAAGGCAGCAGAGGGAGCTCCAGGCCACCAACCAGCTCTGCTCAGCTTCAAAGTTTGCTTTTCATTGTGAAACTCGTTGTGACTCAGAACAATTCTCGAGACTTGAACATATGAAACTTCTTCATTAAATATCTTTGTTTTCCCACACCCCCTTCGCTTCAGTGCAGAGTGACTGACTATTATAATGCTCGTCAAAAACCTCTGGGCAGTGCCACTGTCTTGGGGTGGGGATTCTCAGTTTTAGAAAAGCCTGTGGGGTTTGGGGTTGTTCTCAATTATTTGGGAAAAAAGTCCCCACCGATGTTCCCTGATTGAGTCACTGCAGCCTTCCTCTGGCAAGGCAGCACGTCCTCCACCACCACCACTGTCATCTGTAGTTAGTTACTTAACTTTAAAGACAGTTTTACTTGGTACCTGTTTTCTCTTTTCCACCTCAGCCTGGAGCTTCTCTGCCTCAGCCTTCTTTGTTGACTTTTTCATAAGTAAAATGTTATGATGCATATCCTCGTCCATATTCTGCATGTAGATGAGGTGCAAGGCCAGGTTTTCAACCTGGGTCTGCATTGCAGAAACTGAGGAGGCAGGAGAAAAAATATTTAGAGAAACGCATTTGTAGGATAGACTTTAAAGAGTGATAAAAGGGAAAGGAATATAGAAGGACCCAAAACAAAACCACACGCATACGAGGTCAATCAGCCCTCCCTGAAATAGCAATTTGCATCAGCTTTGAAGTATAGCTCCACAAGCAAAGCTAAAATGATTGGTAAGCAATTCCCTTGACTCCCAGCACACGAATCCCAGGAAATCAAAGAGGGGCCTCAGGAGGCTGGCAGTCCACTCCTCTGCCCCAAACCAGAACTGTCTCTTTCTCAGCTTGTTCAATGCTTCCCTAATTTTTTTCAATAACCTTCAGAAACTTTCCAGGCAATCATTTGAATGCTTTGCTATCCTTGCCATTGCAATTGTTTTACTGTTTCCTATCCAAATGCCTGCAGCACAAAAAGAATTAGCCAAGTCTGATTCTGGGGCTGGAATGGGCTGCCACATGGATGGTGCTCTCATACTCCAGGATACCCCTAATGACATTTGCAATCTCATTGCAGCCCTGCAGAGACACAGGTCAACATTACACTGCTAGGAATTTTTCCCTGCTAAGTTGCAGAACAGCCACCTGCCAGGAATGGACTTAGTTTTAGTCCTAAAGACCTTCTGAGAATTACAACATAAAACCACGGTCTTGGAAACAACAGAAATTATATGAGGGAATATAATTAAGCAGGAATAGCTGTGAAACTTTTCAGCGAGTGCATTATTCCCGTTTAATTTACTGTGTTTTTCAACCCAATGCTTGACTCAGATTCAAATTCATTTCTCCTTATAATACCAGAATTAGGAAATACTGCCTCAGTCACCTTTCCTGCGTTCTTCATCTGCGTTCTGACACATGGTCTTGTAAGTGAGCCTCAGGCCCTCCAGTTCCTCTTCCAGCTGCTGGCGCACTGCGGCCGCCTGTGAGCAGCGGTCTTGGCTCTTCTCCAGCTCCAGCTGCAAATGGGCCAGCTGCTGCTGTGCTCCGTACAGAACCACCCCGAGTTCTTCCCACTGTTCTTTGCCCTTCCTCGTATCTGCCCTCTGCCAACACAAGAGGAAATCAGCTCTCTCACTTCAGCTTGCACAGGGACAGGCTGCTGCAGGAGGGCAAAGAAAGGATGCTGCATACCAGCTCCTGAAGCTCTAGGTTCACTTTTTCCATCTGCTTAGTAAGGTAATTCTTCAGAGCAGCCTGGAATCTTCTCATCAGAGGCTGTAAAGTAGGATGTTGATAAATTTTAACATACTTGTGTCAATAAATTATGAAGAAACCTTGCTGCTATTCCCACTGTTAAATAAAACATCTCTTATTTTCTGCCCTAGAAACTCCCATTCTTAATTTAGCTGCACTCATTCGGCAAGCAAGGAGAGCTACATAGTGGGTATTAGCTGAAATCAGAAAGGGACTACTGAGAATATCTGAAAGTCAGAAACATCTCAGAAGAGCTATATCTGAGAACCCGTCCACTCACTGCAAGTACTGCTCTTTCAGGAACCCTGAAGAGCATCAGGTTTACCCTTTACATTGCCTACTTCTGAACCTGCAGCTCTGGGGTTAATGCTGAGGGAGCAGACACACTCCCTACTTTTGTGAAAGCTATTTTTAAACACACAGTTTTAGCAGACAGCCAAGCCCCTGCTTACAATTTACCTCACACATTTTAGACAAATAAAAATCTCAAGCCTGCAAAGGAGTGTGACAAGATTTGAAGGCTTCTCACATGTTCTGGATCCAAGACAACCAGTTCTGTTTCTTCTGTGGTTTTCTCACTTCTGCATATTTCACGTTCCTCAGCCCCATGCTGCTGCCATTCCTCTTCCCATTTTTGGTCACCATGCTCACTAGTAAGTGCTGATTCTGAATAGAGAGAACTGGGTTCTCCGGTGTTACCTGAACCCCACACCCCCCAAAATAAGAAGATAAAAGCTTAGATGTCATAGTATTGTGCCTTCAGTTGAGTTAGTAATGATCAGAAAGAGAGAAAACCAGGAACTGTGCTCAATAGCTGGTATCAAGTGTTGTGCTGTCAATAAGGAACTGAATGATACCTGACTCTGTGCAGCTGCTCAGCTCCACTGACAAAGCAGATGCCTGCAGAGTTGCTCCTGCAGGAAGGGGAGTGTTTCCTCTGTCTGTCACTGGCTGCTCCATGTCACCCAGCTCAGGAGAACTGTCACATTCTGCTTTGTCCCAAAACGTCTCAGGAGGTTTTTCCTGAAACATAAGACTCAGCACCTGAAACAGCTTTTCAATCTAACCCTATTTGCCCCTAAAAGTCTCCTTATTTTTGTCAACATGAGGCATGAACAATGCAAACAAAGGATCAGCAAGAGGCCTTGTTCTAAAATCAGTGCACAGAGATACTGGCAAAGCTGTGTTACTCTTCATTAAGAAAACCTTGCACATATACAGCACAACAAGGGAATCTCCCCAGGTTTGTCAGAGCTTTTCTATACTTTGTGTTTGACCAGTTCACTGCTTCTCTGTCCCAGCTTTCATTGGGTTTGTGTTTGCAGCAATAAAACTGCACCAGCAGAATGTGAAGTTACAAACACTGGTCATACATTCTGTGAATAAGGTTATAGGTAATATTAGTGTCTCACTTCTGTAGCTCCAGAGACCTCTCCTTCTGCTGGGGGAAGCACCTTTTCTTTTTTCTCCAGAGGAACAGACTCTTCCTCTTCGTTCTCCTTCCCCTTCTCTGCTTCCATGGCCTAACATACAACACAGGGGAAGAGTAGAACAGCAGCATTAGAAGGAGTGTGTACTTTGTTTAACATTATTGTAACAGGAATGTAACAACTGGGCACAGGCGTTCAATTTTGGGCACAGGCGTTCAATTTAGAAGTCTCTCATTCACAAACCAGTCACACAGCAAGGATGGAGACAGGACAGACCCGACAGAGTTCTTCACACCCCTTGTGATCTCATGTGATTTTAGCTTACATCTAGTGAAACAAATAAATGCCCTTAGGCATTTATTAAAGAACCTCCTCTGGCTTGCAACACATGTAGCCAAATTGTTCTCTTTTTGTTTTCTTTTCAGAGACACTGTTATATCCCATACCCTTTTTACCAAATTCAAGTACTGTGCAACGGAAGAAGAAAACTTATCACCAACGCAGCCCAATAAGAAAAGACCAAGTATATGTATCTATGAAACATGGAAAACCTCCTTTTTAAGGTGTCTGCAGCAGAAACGTGTCAAAGGAAATCACCTCCACAGCGAGATGCGGGGAAACTTGGATTATATCCTGCTCAGCAGAGCCTAATTCGGGTCCAGACCCCCCTGCTGCTGCAGCAGGAGCCTTATCAACGGGGCTGGCCTGTACCTGCAACCAGAGGCAGGAGAGAGAGTGAGCCCGAGCCGCAGGCCCCAGTGGGGCCCCGGAGCAGCCCCGGTCGCGGCGGAGCAGCCCCGGTCGCGGCGGAGCAGCCCCGGTCGCGGCGGAGCAGCCCCGGTCGCGGCGGAGCAGCCCCGGTCGCGGCGGAGCAGCCCCGGTCGCGGCGGAGCAGCCCCGGTCGCGGCGGAGCAGCCCCGGTGGGGCCCAGCTCCGCACTCACCCGCCACCAGCAGCACCATCTTCCCCGTTGCCCGGCGACGCGTCAACACCTGGTCACGTGCTAGCTGTGGGCCGCACCATCTCAGCCCGCGGAGGGGGAACTCGGGCCGCACCACCTCAGCCGTTGGGGGGGGGGTGGGGGTGTGCACGGGCCGCACTACCTCAGCCCGCCGGGCCCGGGCCGGAGCTGGCTGTGTCCCGGCCGCCATGGCCGCGCCGGCCCCGGTGCGGGGCAGCAGGTAACGGCGGGGGCCGGGCGGGGCGTGCCGGGGTCGCTCTTTGCCCTTCCTTCCCTGGGGCGGCCCCACCTGAGGCAGCTCCGCGCAGCCCCGGGTCACGCCGGCGGCGAGCGGGCGGGGCGGGGCCGTCGGGCGGGCACACCCCTGCCGGAGGTCCCGGTGCGGGGCCCGGGGTGGGCGCTGGTCCGGTCGGGCCCGTCCCGTCCCGTCCCTCCGCCAGAAGTTTCCCCGGGGCTCGTCGTTGCCGGTAAAAGCACCGGGGCCGCGGAGGGGGGGTTCGCTCTGTGCAGCGGCGCTGGCCCGGCCCGGCCGCTCCTCACGCGTGGGGCTGTCACACGGGGCCGCGGCTCCCGGTGTCCCGCCCGGTGAGGCACCATTTCCTTACCCCGTTCTTTGTCTTCCCGAGAGTCGCTGGGGAGGGGCTGTGAAACCGGGATGAGAAACAGTTCTTAAACTTCATCAGCGGCTCCGCGCAGCCCCGGCTACCGGCCCTGTTCCTTCCCTTCGGGAGGAGGCCCCGCTCCCAACCCACCCCGCTGTCTGTTTCTTCCTTTGCCGAGTTCAGCGGAGACACGAAGATGGATGTTGGGATCCTTGGTAATTATTGATGTGTGGCCTTCAGGCGCTCCGGGGCAGGGATTACATGTTGATACATTGCTCCCTGTGCTGCTGACACTAAAATAACTCTGCTTCTTCCTCTCTGAAGTCTGCCTGTCTTTTTGGTTCTCAGACTAGAAGCTTGTCTTGCAAAGGTATTGTGTTCTCAGCTGCCACTCTGAATAAGAAGTAATAAAAATGGAATATCTTTTAAGAGAAAATGGTAGAAATATTGAGACCAGGACAGCTCAGGGCGAAGATCTGGGGCTTGCTGCTTCTTTTGCTCCTTTAAGTTTGTGGGCTTAGAGGAGCTCATCCTTGTTCTCGTGATAATTTTGCTGGATTGCTGGGATGGGGCAGTGTTGTCCAGCAGGCACGAATGGGGTCAGGGGGAAAGGTGACTCTTTCAAAGCATCAGAGACACCTGTTCTGACTTCTGCTGTATTAAGAAACGACTTTGCAATTAGTTCATCGGCTCAGCTGTGATATCAGGTTCCGGGAATTCTTTACCTGCTGTTACTGGGGGCGTTACCATGCCACAGCTGCACGGCATTGGGAATCAAAGGCCATACAAAGTTACTTACCGCACAAGCGCTGCAGTTAAGTGACATAAAATTATGTTTAATCTGGAGATGGAGGGACATATGGCACAAATAATTTCCTGCACAGAAGCGTGTGTTGTGGTTTGGCTCCTGGTGCTGGAGGGAGGGAAGCTTCTTGTTTGCTTTCTTTCTGCCTCAGCAGGTGTGGCTGGAAGCAGCAGGAAGGCTCCCACCATAGCATTTGGTTTCCCATTTTGTCTGTGAGTCACAATCTTGCAGTATTTAGTCTGCTGTCCCTTTTTTACCTTCTCAGCTGAGACACATCTGAGTGAAGCTGTTCCACTGAAGCGACTGGGATCAGAGCTGAATCCTGTCAGGATCCCAGCCCTGGCTGGTGACTGCTGGTTCTCTGCCTTTCCTCTGTGCTCCACGTGCCACTGCTGCACCAGCAGCTCAGGAATGAAAGACTTTTTGGTGACCTACATAATTCTCTCCATGCAATGGGATGGCTTCAGAATGATTTCCTGTGGTAAACTTTTTTCCTCGATTTGGCTAGGTCATCTTAAATAGCTCCAGCTAATGGCTAGTAGTTCTGGAAGCTTTATTTCCCTCTAATGAAGAGGTATTGCAGTACAAAAGGAAGGTTGTTTCACAGCTCTCATGTATAACTAGAGTAGTAGAGATGAAGGGAGTGACTAGCTGAGAGGCACACAGACAATCCATTCAGAGGACTGGAAAAAACCTGTGAGTCCTGACCCCAGGCTCCAGTCCCTGCTCTGCCTTCCAGCACGCTGTAACCTGTGCTTGAACCACCAGAGATACAGAGACACATCTGCTTTTCCCAAGGGGAGGAAGGGGCAGGAGCTTGTGCAGTGTCAGAAACCTCCCTGGTGCAGTGACTCTGTACTCCTTAAACATGTAACATCAAATTGAAGTTGTTAAGGGCAGAAAAGACAAAAGACTGTTCCATTTTTCTTACTTCAGGCATTTCATGCTTCAGTTCCGTGCCGATGTTTGACGGCTCACATTTCTCCTCTGTGCCCAGACATGCTGTAGGTCTCATATTTCGCTTCAAGAGCCCTGTAGCTCAGCTTATTTTGCTTGTAAAGCTATTAAACTCGCACAGCAAGTTTGTCCTTGGAGCCACAAGACCCTCTGCCAGGCACCAAGTGCTCAGCAGTGTCGGCAGCAGCCGACCCCAAAGCGTGGCTGTCATCTGCCTCTATGGGCTAAACTCATTTGTGAGAGGAGCCTTGTTGCCTTATGTGCTCCTTGTCAGCTTTGTAATGTGCAGAAGCCCTGCATTGCCCTCCTGTGCTGGAATACAGGAATCTTGTGCAACCGGAGGCAGCACCATTTGGTCCAGCAGCGAGTGCCAAGGTGAGGGTGTGATCTGCCAAGGCAAACAGCATTTGTTGGTGGTGGGTTTGGGAGAAGGGCACGCCTGAGGGAGGCGAGCAGCAGGCGTTACTTGAGCTGCTGCTGGCTGGAACTGCTCAGGCTCTTGCGAAGAGTCTCCTGGGGTGATTTCAGGAGCTGGCTCCCCAGCACGTTTGTGAGCTCTGGTGTAGCTGAGAAGTGCTGGCACTGCCTGGGAGAGCAGCCAAGGGCTGCGTGAACAGACTCAGTAGCTGTAGCAAAGAGCTTTAGCGGCGACAGTTGATGTGTGGGAGAAGAAAATGTATGTGTGCTTAATAAATATTGGCACTCAGCAAGAGCTTTTCAGCTAATTCTGTGCCTGAGCTGCTGGGGAGCTGCGTTGTCTCTGCCACGTTGAAAAGGATCCCTTCAGATCAGGGCATAAATAGAAAACCAATAGGAGAGAACCTTTTTTTGTGAATGGTGCTAATTCACTGCTGACTGAGCAGCAGGACAGATCTCGCTGGCCTTCCCAAGCTCACACAAGAGGCAGCAGCAAATCCTGCTGCTTCTCCAGGCCCGTGGCCTGTGTGTGCAGACATTGTTCCACACAAAAAGGACTGAGAATAGAGCAAACCCTGCACACCGGGTCTCTTTGTTTGCTGGTTTCTGTTGTATGAACTCTTGCCTTTTGGGAAAGAGAGGCACCTTCTTCACAAGCTGTTTCAGAGACTTCGGGGTTGTACATATAGACTTGATGACCTTCAAAGGTCCACTCCATCATCTGGTCCTTGCTGGGACCATCTGTTTCTGTGGCCAGTCTTTGAAACCCCTCAGTGATGGAAATGGCCTCTCCAGCTTGCCCTGGTCTTCACACCTTTATCCCTGCTATTGGAATGAGTAAACTACATATTCCTTACCACAGCTTAACAGCTGTGAGAGGATTAATTCCAGTCTTGCTGGTGATGTTTCTATCTCCCAGTATGTTTGCCTGCTTGGTTGCAGCACTGTAGTGGTTTCTGATTTCTGATGCGCGGCTCTTTGGCAAGTTAGATGCCACAGGCTGAGTTTCTGTGCTGGCAGGACACCATATTCTTCACGTCCTGTCATTGCTGTTGTTTCCTCTTCCCAGCACATGTATCCGTGTGTGTACCTGCAGTGCTGTCCAACTGCACATCAGGGCAGTGCTGGAGCAACACGTGTTCTGCAGGATCACAGCAGTATTTCCCTTTAAATTCCTCCTGCTTTCCAGGGAGCAGCTTTTGCTCTTTACCTGTGGCTTTGTTCTTTCTGGGCTAGGTAAAGCTAATTAAATGCTGCCTCTGTTGGCAGTGAATCCTGCACCTCTGCTGTGCTCTGAGAGCCCCTGAAGAGCAGCAGGAAAGCATCACACAAGCTCGTTTCATACCTGCATCTCCATCTGCTGTCCCTAGCGGGAAAAGCTCACTAGTGTTTCCTGAGGAAGCGGCTGTGTACCACCCTCCTCCTTTGCAGGTTTAGTGCCTTCAGAGCTCTCATGAAATAGCTGGCACAGCCGAAGGTCCGGATATCCGGGCTTGACAGCAATGGGCAGAGCTGCACACACCGCGCTGCCTGGCAGCGGTACCCTCCTCAGCTGTGCTGGAGGCTCAGGGCCTCTGATGCTGTACAGGTTGCTCCACATCACTGCTGTGGACTCCCTCAGCACTGTGTTGAAATGGTGTGTTGTAACTCGGTGGTGGGAGGGAGGAATTGCAGCAGTTTGCTGTGTGCTCTTGCAGTGCAATGAGAGGAAAGGTGACCTGCTCTTTAAATGTGGTTGAGGCAAATGACTTTCTCCAAGACGTGACCCAGAGCCTCAAACAGTGCTGTGGTTTTTGATGATCTGGACAAGAATGAGCATATGGCTCCACTGGAGTTTGTTTTTGGGGGCTGAGAAGTGAAGATACATGTTGTGTTTGGCGCTAGAAGGCAACACGCGTGCAGAGGGCTTGCAAAGTACTTGTCTTACCCCAAACACTTGCTGGGCACAGGATGTAG